ACACACACACACACACACACACACACACACACACACACACCACACTTGTTCTCAACCCCGTGGGGACCTTCCATTGACTTCCATTCATGTTTTTTAGACTTTATAGCCTAACCCTGACCATATGCTCTAAAATTAACCTCACAGGTACCTACCTGACCCTAAAAATAACCTAAACCTTGATCCTAAACCTAACCCCACACCTGTAATTTGCATTTRGACCYGTGGGGACCTGGCATTGATCACCATGATTCACTTCGGTCCCCATGAGGCTGCTCTTTTTGGGAAAATTTTCCACATGTAGGAAAAACCCGCCCACAAACACACACACCCACCCACACCCACACACACACATACAGACACGTTCTTTGTCCCTATAGCGCCTGTGCAAGCGGCTGTGCAGAAAAAGGAAATGCCCTTTTTGGCACCAGTCATCCATTAAAAATGCCCCGTTTTCATGAATGAATGGCCTGAATTAATAACAAAACAATTTTGATGAAAAATCTAAATTATTCATGACCAAATCTGACACATCTATTGCTATGAGAAATCTGCATTTTTCTGCATGAGAATGACTCTCGGAGCAGCTTACGTCCAAACAGAGTGAAGATTTGATCCACTAAAACAAACAGTAAATCATTTCAGACTTTATATGAGCCTCATGGACAGCATTCATATCTGATGAGGTCCTGTCTTCAAAAGAACATGAGTTGATTTAGATTTTCACACAYATTTTGCTTTTTATTGTTTCATTGTTCAGCTATGAGCTGTTTAACAAAGGTAATGGATTTCATATTGATTGCTGATACAGTATTTGCCCCGAAACTAAATGACTGACATCAATATTATAACATTTAATAATAGACTTTACAATTACCACGTCTTTTATATTGTACTTCATGTAACTCTAAAACGTCTATATGCCAAAGTCTTACTCCTGTCAGTATTTGTTTAAGTGTTGTCTTTACTATTAGTATACAGTAGCACTGGAGAACAAACACAAAACACAGAAAGTAACTGGCACACAGTAAAACTCCAATTTTCCCCAGCTTGATTGCTACCTGTGTATAGGACATCCAGTATAACCAGAGAGCAGACACAGACTGAAGGAGTGAGCTGCCATAACAACAAAAGGATATGTGGCAAAGTGAGTCCCGGAGATTACTGTGAAATTGGTCCACACCCCACGGTGCTGTCCACTGTCATTATGTTGCTTTCAACAGCCAGAAAAAAGCGTGATTTTTCAGTTTTGGAAGGGCAGAAATAAACACCATGTCACAGCAAGCGTCTCAAGATCAATACAAGCAAGTATACTTTTTTGGGGCGAGTTCTTCCCTCTTATTTACCTTTTTTTAAATTGCCACAGTACGATGGTCTTCTGAGTCAGACATCCATTTGGACCAGCACCAGAACAGGTGGTGCCTCGGCCACTTTAGTTTTGTGACGCAGCAGATGAGTCAAACTGCTGAAAGATGGCGTGTTGTGGAGGAGAAGTTCCTTGAGGTCTGCCCGGAACTCCCTGCGAACCAGGCAGTAGAGCACCGGGTTGAGGCAGCTGTTCGTCTGAGCCAGGCACACAGTTATGGGGAAGGCATAGGCCTGGGCATTATAGAACGCCTTGCTGAAAGGAACAAGGTCAAACTTTATGAGGACCCCCCAGAATGTCAGAGCCTGATTAGGAAGCCAGCACAGAAAGAAGGACAGGACCACGATGGCGATGGATTTGGTCACTTTTGAGCGCCGGTTCAGCTGGCCTTGCCTCACTTCTGGACCTGCTGCTCCTGCAATGCGCCGGCTGAGGATGACACGCAGCAGAAGTAGATAGCAGACGGTGATTATGATTAGAGGTATAAGAAAGCCCAGCAGGACCTTTTGTAGCTGATATAGACCCAAAAGGACCTGTGGATCCCAGCTGCCTGAGTCTGGGAAACGGACCAGACAGAGTTCCTCATCTGACACCACGGCACTGGTGGAGTAGATGGCATGAGGCAACGTGGCCAGCAGGGAGATGGCCCAGATGCCAAGACTCGTCCACTTGGCCCGGGCAGCAGCTGCTCTCCAGCTGTGCATCTTCAGTGCAGAGGCGATGGAGTAGTACCGCGCCATGCTCATCGCCGTCAAGAAGAACACGCTGGCGTACATGTTCACGGTGGTGACGGAGCTGATGATCTTACACATCACTCGGCCGAACGGCCAGCGGAAGTCCAGGGCTGTGTCTACAGCCCAGAAGGGCAGAGTCAGAACAAACTGCAGGTCTGTGATAGCCAGTCCCATCACGAAGCAGTTGATGGATGACTGCTTCTGCCTGTGACGTGAGTGCAGCAGATACAGAGCCAGAGAGTTCCCAACCAGCCCCAGTGCACAGACTATAGAGTACACGCACGCTATTGTCACACGTAGCACCACGCTGGAACTATCTCCTTGGAACTCCATAATGGATTCCCTGGTGAGGATCTGCAGCCAGCAGTGCAGAGACAGGTTGCTGCTGGAACCTCCGCTGTCATGTCCTGTGCTGTCCTCCTGTAGTTCACATGTCTCTGGAGCCACTGTTTGGACCCCAGTCTCATTCACAGACATGTCTGGGCTCTTCTCACATGCCAGCCTCAGAGTCAGAAAGCTGCTTTTTGTCACAAAAGACAAGCAGAAAAAGTTTCATTTAATTGCATTTTCAGTTCTCCTGCTCCGTCGTTGTCCATCAGCACCACACAGATGTCTGCTTCAGTCGCGATGATCCGCCTCTCATTTCCACTCTCTGCTCCGTCTCACAGACTTGGAGCGCAGCGGCGTCCACCTATTATAGTGTAGACGGGAGCGCGCAGCGCGCGGAGGACGGTCTCTGTCTCTCCAGCCTGATGAAAGCAGCAAAACCGTCCTCTGAATATTGCCTCATCAAACACTCAACACATTTCTCCACAGAGGTGAAACTGGTGTATTTTTCTCCCCACAGGACACATGTAATCATGTTTATGCTCTGACCTTTTTGTTTTTATTTTTTGACAACATGAAAACAGCATGAAATGTGCCAAGTGACTTGCTTTAAAGACATTAGAGATATTTAAAAAAATCTATTACTTTCTTTGTAAAAATTATATTGTCAAATATGATGTTAGAATCTAAAAGTTAAATCTCTTGTTGTGGCTAAATGTTGACATTTACTTTTAAGTATTTGGGATGTAGTAGAGCAGTAACCAAAAGTCACAGGTTGGACTCCCTGCCATGCATGCCATGGTGTCCTTGAGCAAGACACCCAACACTCAACTGCTCCCTGAGCGCTCACATAACTGCCTGCTGCTCGACATGGGTGTTTCTCAAGTGTGATGGGTTAAATGCAGTATGGCAAGCCGTTGGGACCATAAATCGGGCGTATATTTACTTGCAAATCCTAACGCGCGGTGCCGTAAATAATGTGCGAAGGCGCGGTGGCGTTTTCTACCCTAACCCTAACCCACTGCGCGTTTGCGCTTTATTTACGGCGTTCGCGCGTTATTTACGGTATGCGCGTGGCGCCACCGCACGTTCGTACGTTATTTACGTGACCGCGCGTTAGGATTTGCACGTAAATATACGCCCGATTTATGGCCCCAGAGGCCAACGATATTGCAGAGCACAAATTTCGTCATTGTTTGGGAACATGCATTGATGACAAAGAAAGTACCTTTACCTTATATTTGGGAATGGAACACAGCCTTTGTTGTCGGTGTGAGGCTCTTCTTGTGACGTCATCATCCTGCAACAAAAGCAGTCGCTAACAACACTAATGCTTCTTAAGAAGGCTTTTAAAATTTACAAGACATGAGATGTCAATAATTGTCGATAATGTAATGGATATTATTACAATTCAGGTATTAAATGAGAACTCTAAAAATATAATCATTTGCTGTGCATATCGATCACCAGGTTCAAATATACAACTCTTTACAGAGAAAATCATGTAACTTTTTGAAATGAATTATCATAAAACATATTTTTTGTGTGAAGACTTTAATATTTATTTAGGAAATAAATCTGATTCAAATAATATCACTGCATTTGTAGACTCAATGTACAGTTTGAGTCTTTACCCACTCATTTTTAAGCCAACAAGAATTACTACACATGAAAAACCTAAACTTTAACATTTAGCCACAACATTTAAGATTTTACTTTACATTTCTATTTACACATTTAGATTTAGGATTTAACATTTAGACATAGTATGTAACATTTTATTTAACATTTAACATTCTTTAGATTTATTGTTTTTTTGTGAGTCTGTGTGTGTGTGTGTGTGTGTGTGTGTGTGTGTGTGTGTGTGTGTGTGAGTGCCCTGAGGCAACAGTTGTTGTGACTTCGTGCTATATAAATAAACTGAATTGAAATTGAATTGACTTAGGTAGAAATTTGCAAAATGTAAGAATTGTGWTTTAACAACAATAAAATGTTAGTGGAAATCTTTAAGTAGGATTACACTCTCCCACTCAGAAAATGAGCCAAACAATAAAAATGTTTTAGTGACATTTTTAACATTTTATTTTACATTTGGCACCCCATAGTTAGCAAGTGCAAGCAGTGGCAAAGAAGTTATGTTATTATATTCAGCAAGACTATACATTTACAAAATATTTACACAAATTTAAATTTGTTATAAGTATTTTTACGAATGAATAAAAATCAGTTTTAAAGTTCATTAACAATCATGAACATTTTTTATTGTGTAATTTCACAACTATTGTCTGAACACAATGAAGCTTTCTGATTCATTGAAAAAAAACAATTAATTTGTATCTGTAATTTGTGAAGACCTAATATATTATTATATTATTTTTTAAAGCTTTGGTTTATTTGTGATAAATGAAAAAAAATGCAAAAATAAATTAATAAATTATTGAGCAACTTTTAACATTATGAAAAAGAAATGGATACATTTTTAGTAATTAAAACTTTTGGGAGATGAAAGACAAACACAACACTGTTAATTGTTAGGTCAGTGGTCCCCAGACTTTTTCCTGTAAGGGCCACATAACTTTTCCCTTCTCTGGTGGGGGGCYGGAGTCAGTTTGTAACAGAAAAAGTGTGACTATTGCAGGAGTGCCTAAATGTAAAAATTTATTGTTTTCCAGAAAGCATAATCAAATAACCCTCTCTGAGTTCTTCACAGTATGTATTCTGCTGAGCTWACAGTCCACTTTTTAGCTTTGAGAGTTTGTCTGCTCGCATTTGGCCTTGCAAGCTAKCATACTTGTCTTTGTGACGGGATTCATAGTGTCGCCGCAGATCGTATTCTTTGAATACCGCCACCGCCTCTTGACAGATGAACAAAAAATAATCGTTTGTCCTCCGCAGCTTCAATGCCCTGCATTCTGAATCAATTTTTCTCTTACCTAATCTTTTTGCCATTATTCCATTCTCTCTTTGAGAGAACCAGGTTTAGGATTTTTTTTCTGGGGGTTGCCAGATAGGGGCACAGACMGCAGAAGGGTGGAACAGAATGTCACGTTATATGCGTGTATGTATGAAATAGTTACTAACTAATAATAGTAATAATGAAAATAGTTCATAACTAAGGAAAATTTTATTGCAAAAGTCCAACTTTACAGTCAAATACAAATACACATATATGAAAAAAACTAAATGCTCTCTGGTATTGTTCTGGGGGCCGGACCAAATGGGGAGGCGGGCCGGATCCGGCCCGCGGGCCATAGTTTGGGGACCACTGTGTTAGGTCATTAACAACATAAACATTTTGAGGAGATAATGAGGACGGCAGAGTGGAGCTGTGATTAGCTTATGTTCCTTAGTCTCAGGCTTGGAAAAACGTTCTGATGTGGTATTTTTAGAAGAAAAAGTTTTGTGKAACTAAATTCTAACAGTAGACCTCTTTTACAATAGAATGTGCTGCAAAACTGATCTAATAAAAAATCAATGTAGTTTTTGGCTGCCAGATGGCATTGTTAAGGCTAATGTTCTTTTGCCCCGTTATAAAACCACAAACCCCTGGGTCACATCAAAGTTTCATGAAATATTCAAAAACCACAGCAATAGCTAAAGCAAAGCAGCCAATGTTATTCGGTCTGTTAAAGTAATTCAATGCCAAATTATTCTGAAGAAATTGAAATGACAGAAGTAGTTATGAAAAATAAATCTGCTCACTTTTTAAATCCATTGCAACCCACTTGCTGTCATCTTAACAATGCCTGAACCAAAACTCACAGGCAGCACTGACAGTAGGCCTGCTTTAATGTTTAAACCATTTAAATCTGCTATGACTAATATGTCACATGTCTACACAGACTGTTTGCAGAAAACCTGAGGTTTTAAYRTTTAAGACCAAACTATTTTATATCAAAGAAAGTGTTGTTTATTTGTGATGCTCACAGACRAAGCCAGTAATTACTTTATCTGATGGTCTGGCTCGTATATCTACTGTATACCAACATAGTTTTTTTTTGTAACTCACGTGCACAGTACTAAATAGAAGATATTTGTCAGTTACTAAACACAAAGTCTTCAGYTAGCCTGTATGAAAGAATGGTTCCGCAGATTTTGCACACTGAAGTAACAATGGAGGGATTTGAATTGTCTGTTTTCACGTTTAAGTCCACACAGATGGATACTCGACCGTTTTTCACGCCCTTATTAATTACAGGTTAGTCTGTGTTCATTTGTATGAAAAATCTTTCCATGTCTCAAGCAGATGCCACCAAACTGTGGTGAGGTTCACTGCTCATCAAAACAAAACAAAAATAGTTGATGTATACAGTTAACAAAACAAGTAAGAAAATTTGTGTTTGGTAGATTATTTCTTTGTTGTAACAATGCTTCTTGACAATAAATCTTAATTACCATTAGAAATCCTGTTGAATCCCTTTTCAATGGTGCCACATTTTGTAAGGAACCTGCATTTGTGGGATGAGCAGAAGAGCTGAGTATGTGGGTTGCACACATGAAAAATTTGTCAAATTTTCACTTCCAAACACCTTATCCTGTCATATACGTAATCCACAAATTCAGCTCTACTGCTCTTCCCACAAATGCATGTTCCTTAAAAACGCAGCACCATTTGAAAGGGAAATTAAGATTTTTTCCAACGGTATAAGATTTATTGCCAAGAAGCATTGTTGCAACAAAGAAATAATCTACTAGTGCTGGGCGGTTTACTGTTTTGTACCGAATACTGGTTTTTATTTTTGTTATGATATGAATTTTCTGAATACTGGACATTCCGGTTAAAATAGCCTGAACACGTGCAGACCGTTTCATCATGGCCGCCAGTGAACTGTTTCCTGGGGTACACTTTTCCTCGCAGCACCGCAATTTGTGTTAGCATGCCAATGTAATTTTTGGAGCAGTTTGCAGCTGCGAGTGGCGATTCCGCTGCTTATATTGACTGACGTAAAAAAAAACATCCCGTTTTCGCCATCGCTGAATGTAGTAAACACCTCTTCAGTGACGCACACGGTTAGATTTAATGCGTGGTTAATTAATATGGAGACGTTATGCTGATTGAGACTTAACG